AATAGCCTTTAACAATATTCGCCACTTGTCTCAAATAAATGACCTATAACAATATTCGCTACGTGTCAACTAAATTACCTATAACAATATTCGCTACTTGTCTGAACTACACAACCTATGACAATGATCGCCATTTATGTCAACTACACAGCCTATAACAATGATCACAACTTATGTCAACTAAATGACCAATAACAATATTCGCCACTTGTCTCAACTAAATGACCTGTAACAATATTCGCGCTTTGTGTCAACTAAACAACCTATAACGATAGCTTTGGTTCAAACACCCCTCGGTTACTGTGTCTAATATAACTTTCGCCCTTGACTCTCAACCGCAGAGAACTGCCTATGTCTGACGTGAAAAGACATAATTCATTTTAATGTATCGCCCAACATTTTTTTTTTATCTCAAGCAGGAAATTAAGCCCGATTTAATAATAGCCGACGTAGTTAAAAATCGATTCCTGAAAAGTTGGTCTAAACCAAGTAACAATTGAGATTTTTTTTTTCTTTTTCTTTTTTTTTTAAGATTATGGCTCGAAATAAACTCAACAAAGAAATCAATTTTAGGAATTTATAAGGAGCGTTCGGTCATAGTAAGATGTAGAAATATAAATCGTCTGATTCTTCATAGTGCTAGATAATAATTAAGTAAAAAAAAAAAATAAAAAAAAAGGTTGTTAGTTATCAATTACATTTAATTTCCAAAGCATCCAGAAGAATATTTGAAGTATTTTAATCTTGTTAAAGATAAGAAATCGATCTTAAGACCATTTTGCTGCTGTTGTTTTTTTTTTGTATGTATACATATGCGAATACATTTAAAAAATCACTAATAATAAGGAGAAATAAACCGGGAGTGATCTCCCCTAAAATTTCTCGAATATTCGTATATAAAACAACAGGGGATGGGAACTCCATTTTAAATACTTAAAGTTTTTAAAATAGAATAAAATCTCGTAGAAAAAAAGAGTTGCACACCAAGTGAACGCTAAATGAAATGAGCATAATAAAGCGCAATATTATTAGTACTTTATAAATTTACATGCATTTTTTGATAAATCGGAAAAAGCGTAAATTAGTACTTCCGGTCAACAGAAATTACTCAATTGACAGAAGGTAGAGAATTAGATCTTTTACTTACATGTGAAATTTCATTTATCTATCTGAAATAGTACTCAAGGTATAGGCTTTTGAAAAATTCAAAGTAGAAAAAGTACCACTTCCGGTTATCGGAAATCGCTCAAAGTTGATACGGATTTACGATTTTGATAAAATACTTATATATGAAATTTCATTAACCTAGCTGTAACGGTACTCAAGTTATCGTGTTTACACACACACAGACACACACACAGACACACAGACATACAGACAAGATTGCAAAATTATGTTTTTTCCGTATCAGTGAGGTGTAAAACGTCGAGATTTGTAAAAATCTCAATTTTTTTTGGCACGATTACAATACTTTCTCTATATTTCGTATATACGAGAAAGTAAAAAGTAGTAGACAAACAACCCCCGAATGTACCATCAAATCCTACTCCTGTTTGGCCTATTTGTCTTATACGTACAAGTAAAATATGTAGATGAATATATTTTATTGCAAAACTTATTTGAGCAAGTTGCACAGACATTAAATTATTATAATGACAACCACTTGTAGTATTTGCTCAGCAACATTAATTATTGTACACTTTTTTTATGTAAATAAACACACCTAATGCATAAAAATAAAATAAAATGTATATGTAGGACTGCATTCAAATCTCATGATCAAATAATTAATATCGTAATTATTTCATTATTGTTCAGTATCGTTAGGAGCAGTGCAAGCAAGCAAAATATGTAGGAGTGGTTAATAAATTGTTCTAGTTACTTCCCATTTATGTTTTTAATTACCTAAATGGAAAAACAAACATTTTTTTTTGTTCTAACAAGTCGTTAGAAATAATGATTAATTTAGTTAAATAAAATAATATATTTTAGTAAAATGTTATATATAATTATTAATTTTGTGCAAAAATATTTAAATAATTTTTAAATGTAAAATATTTCAATATTATAATTTTAGTTCAGTTTTAACCAAAAACCATTAGCTGTATTAAATTCTTAATTTCTTAATCAATGAAAGTTTACAATCTTATTCAATTACTATAGATTGCCTAAATTGCCGCATGCATTTACTGTTATTCCTTTCAATTTTGTATAATCACATATATGACATCATGCAAATATTCATTACAAACATTTGTAAAATCCTTTCGTTTTCATTTGATGTCCGAAATCATGTAAAGAATTTGATGTTGCTGTAATTGTTTTAAATTGAAAATAAAAGTATAAATTTAAAAAAAAATAAAAAAAAAATTATATACTAGATATATAAAAGGGAAAAGGCTTGTACAAACTGCTTTTTTTTCTTGTATCTAACTAATTATTTATTTAATGAAATGTAAATTATGTTACTGTAAGTATGTTGTATTTTGTTTTATGGCAAATAAAAGTATTAAAAAAATTTAAAAAACTAGGTTCTTACTCAGATAACTGTCATTTTCTTCAACCTTCCCCATCTGAACTATGCCTAAGAAATATTTTAAAAAATGACATCAAATCATTTGCGCTTCATAGCTAGAACTGTACTTGTAAAAAGTAATGACATAAAACCAGCATACCGACTTTTTGATAACATTCTGAGAAGGGAAATTTTCTCTCTGATGTCAAAAGAAAAGAAAGATATGAGAAACCATTTCCTATAAGATGTTGCCTGGCCTATGAAAGAAGTCGGAGAATTTATGATTCTGAAACGCACAGAAAGAATCGACCCAATCCATTTTTAAATTAATTGCGACTACCGGAAGTCGCTGAAAAGTTGAAACATAACTACAAATTTGATATAATACTTATATATGAAATTTCATCAACCTAGCTGTAACGGTACTCAAGTTATGGTGTTCACATACATACACACATACACACACAGACATACGGGCAAGATTGCAAAACTACACCGGGAGGTGTAAAACGTCGAGATTTGGAAACATCTCGATTTTAATTTTTTTTCGGCACGATTATAATACTTTTTCTATAGGCCTACTCTGTATACGAGAAATTAAAAAAGGTTCTTCGTTATCAAATATATTTCAGTTAATATCCACAGAATCAAGAAAGAATATTTGAAGTATTTTAATCCTGTTAAAGAAAGAAATCGATCTTAAGGTTATTGCGAATATATGCGAATGAATAAAAAAAAATCACTAAATTATCATGAGAAAAAAGTAGTAGACAACCCCCGAAAGAACCATCACATCCTCCTCGTGATATTTGGCTTATACGTAAAAATAAAATCTATAGATGACAATAAATAATTGCAAAACTTATTTGAAAAAGCTGTACAGACATTACATTGATACTGGCAAACAAGATTGCAACAAGAGACTGACAGGCCACGATAACAACTGTTTGCTCTGATAGAAATAGAAAGACAAAGAAGAAAAGCTAGCTTGCAGTCTGCTAAAAACAACGATATATATGAATACAGATAGTATTCTGTGATTGTTCTGTTAAGTTGTTATCTATTTTTTGTTTACATGTTGTATTTTATTAAAAATAAACCGGGAGTTATCTCCCCTAAATAAAAAAAAAATTGGGTTCAATTGTATAGGCCTACTCATAAACGAGATATTTAGGAAAAGGTGGTATAACGTGTAAAGTGACAAATTACTAAGTTTATAAAGCGTTATGGTAAAACTATTTTCTACTTGATGGTTTTCCATTGTCCCCGAGGCAAATACCATTTAGCAAATTGTTAAAAAATAAAATTGATTAATGTGAATCCCGTTTGTCCTGAGTATCATGTGATCTAGTATTGTTTCGTGTTCTGGTTTTCCTGACAGTGGTTTTTTCATCATTGGTTAATTTGTATAGCTGCTTTGTAAGCTAGTATTTCTTCGGGATATTTGGTATTTAAACGACTGTGTATTTTTGCTAGTTTATCTTTAGGATTGTTGGTTTTTAGTCTAGTTTGTCTTTGGACAGGTTTGTCTCTAGCGAAGTTGGTCTTTTAGTCTGGGTGGTCTTTAGGTCCATTGTGTTTAACGAAATTGGTCTTTAGCAAAAGTTGGTCTTTTAATCTAGTCGGTCTTTAGTGAAGTTGGTCTGTAGGCCCTTTCGTGTTTAGCGAAATTAGTACTTAGCGAAGTTGGTCTTTAGCGATGTTGGTGTTTAAGTCTAGCTTGTTTTTAAGTCCATTGTGTTTAGCGAAGTTGCTCTTAAGACTATTTAGTCTTTAATTTGACTTTAGGTTACTTGGTATTTAGAGTTATTTGTCTTATAAGGCAGCTAGTCATTAGTTTTTCAGTAGGTTAGTGTTATTTTACCCCATACAGATGACATTAGGACAGTAAGTCTATAGCGGTGTTGTTCTTGTACATAGAAAGTATTTTTGAAACAATATTAGAGTTTGATTGCCTATTATCGTATCAATAATGTCCTGGTATGGGCAATAATACAAAAACTAGGTAGCATATATATATATATATATATATATATATATATATATATATATATATATATATACGAGCGTGCCCGTCCCGCGCGTTGCTGCGGTCTTAAAGTTTAAAAAAAAACTAAAGAAACACATTATGAAAGTTATGGTTCCATTAAATTTACATTTTTATTGAAAATGAAAATTATCAAACATTTTAAAAAGGAAGTACATTCAATTTACATTTTCAAAAATGTATAAATCAATTTTATATGAAAAAACGGTATAACATTCAATGTACATTTTTAATATAACATATTGATCATTCTAGTATGGAAATATGATTAACATTCACTTAACATATTAATTGAAGCGTATATGGCATTTTAATATGAACATCCGAACATTCAGTGTACTTCATCGAAACATATTCACCACTTTTATTTACAAATATGATTAACATTCAGATTACAATTGATTAGTTTTAATGCTGAAACCATTAAATCCAATGTGTTTATTCGAGCGCCTGTGGATATACAATGTTTTTTGTTTTGTCTTCTGGTACGTATACGTATAAATCAGAAGATTTTCCCACACGTGAGCAAGCAACATATAATTGCCCATGTGAGAAACACGAGTTCTGCAAGTTTAAACCACATACTTGCAGCGATTGGCCTTGCGCTTTATTTATTGTCATGGCAAAAGCCAGGCGTACTGGAAATTGTAAGCGTTTAAAATCAAACGGCATGTCTGTTGGTATCATTGGAATACGTGGCAACAACACATGCTCACCCTTGAATTTTCCAGTCAAAATAGTTGCTTCAATGATATTGTGCATCATTTTTTTGACTGCAAGTCTTGTACCGTTGCACAGTCGTGGTGGATTTATATTTCTAAGGAGAATGATAGGCGCACCAAGTTTCAGACTTAATATATGCGGTGGCATACCTGGCAAATCCAATGAATTTAAGAATTCTGTCGGATAACTGACAACTTCGTCTTGATTTATCACAGTGTCTATTGACTTGTACGTTGTCTCTTCTCCTGGTATTCTCTTTTGAATGGTGAAATTCATGTCGTTGACATCGCTGTTTGTAGCAGCTAATATGGCGCGTTCACTAAGCCACTGATGGTTTTCAAACTTCTGTGAGATATTTGTGAAAACCTTTTCAATTAAGTCGTCTTGACTTGATGTCATGTTGCAAAAGTTTTCTGGCAAGGCGATATATTGTGACGATCTGTCAACTGCCATCTTCCCATTCCCAATATCCAGCAATTGTTTTGCGAAACGTTCGGCGGATGCATCATTTTGAAGTTGAACACGCATGTTGGTTTTCAAGGTTAATTTCTTTACATGTCTCCATAGAACAGATGATTTGAGACATGCATTAAGCTCATCAGCCGGTGTTGAACGTGGTATAACTGGCAGAGTTTGTCTAAAATCACCCGACAATAAAATGAGTGCTCCGCCAAAAGGCTGCCCATTATTCCTTAAATCTTGAAGTGTGCGATCAAGAGCTTCCAGTGCTTTTTTGTGCGCCATAGTGCATTCGTCCCATATGATCAACTCACATGTTTGGAGAACCTTGCCCATTCCAGAATTTTTGGTGATATTGCATGTTGGCGTCTCGATGGAATGCAAATTCAACGGTAATTTTAGGGCTGAATGTGCTGTTCGACCACCATCTAAAAGTGTTGCTGCAATTCCAGATGATGCAATTGCCAAGGCAATTTTATTTCTTGATCTTATCGTTGCCAAAATGATTGAAATAAGAAAGGTTTTGCCTGTACCTCCTGGTGCATCTATAAAGTACAATCCTCCGCTTTGATTTGTAACTGCTTGCATGATTGTGTCATATACAATACGTTGTTCTGGAACCAATTTTGGTAGATTCCTTTCAACAAACGCACCCAAATCATTGACATCGAAGTCGTTTTCACGTTGCAAATCACGATCATATGAGTTATTTCCAGATCGATTTGGTGCACACATTCCCAATTGCACCAATCCTTTGTTAGCGATTGACAAACATATATCCTCAATAGCAAGCAGCGCCTCATTATACACCATTGGTGTAAATTGCATACTGGGATTCGTGCTTTGCAAACGACGTAAGATGTCTTCACTCATCCAATCTTTGTATTTTTCCCAAAGATCTTTTGGATTGGATGGGAAACATGTTGTCAATATTATTGCAAACAACGTACGCATTTGTTGTGGCTGAGCAGTATTTGATGCATCAGCGAGTGCTGTGTCCCAATGGGCATCGTTTTCAAGAAGATGTAGTTTTTGGCAAGCTTCTCGATAGGTCTCACATTCTGCATCATTTACTATTTTCAGTTCTTGAAATGATCTGGGCCCACGTACGTTAACTAACAATAATCTCAAGTAAAAACATTCTTGATTATTTGGGTGGACGGTATAGAGACGGCCTAACGTGTCAGACGAATATAAATTGTGATGTCCTGCAACGGGTTTGCCCTGTGTTCGTCGTTGGAACTTTTTCGCTGATCCATTCCACGTGTAATACTTTGGAACTTCTGAGTAAAGAAGCGTTCGGGCGAACTCATCTTCATTGCACAACACAAAGAATGCAGTTAAAGTAGTGTGCGGTGGTGACAATGCTTTAGTTTGTATGTTTTCCATTGTAAAGCAAACACTTTGTCCATCTTTAACATGCACAGCCAAGTGAACAACAGGTGGATGGCGTTCATGAATGGGAAACGATAAAATTCGCCAAACAGCTTCATTGCTACTAATGTAGCGTCCCAATTGAAATCGTTCAATTTCATCGATTGGTGCAGACGGATTTCCTACTCCGAAAACGGCCATATCACTTCCTTTGTTTACATATTTGCAAATGTACTTGATAGATTTCACTGAATTGCAATATTCTACATTGATGTGAGCTTTGAACGTCTTTGATAGTAACGGTGAATATGGAACAATCCAACGATTATCAATATCAATGTCATTGTTGTGCAATTTTAGAACGATGACGTTGCCACCATCCTCAGTTGCTCGTCGACGGTATTTTGGATAGCCATCATTTCCGGTGATAGTCTCTGCGTGTAAGTCTCTTGGATATCGTTTTGTGCACTTACCATCCTTCATGCACTGAGAAGTGTTGTTGATCGCGCCACATGGACCATGGATCATGTTGTTTGAAACAACTTCAAACAAACCGGGATCGATGTTGATATCGGGAATCTCTGCTGATATTATTTCGTCAATTTTGTCGGGTGTAATTTTGTTACACAACCAAACCAAAATATGCGAATGAGGCAAGCCTCTTTTCTGCCATTCAATTGAATACATCCAGCAGCGTGTCTCCCCAAAAACATGATGCTTGACGATGAAATCCATCAAAGATTTTAATTTTTGTTTGAAAACACGTGCGATGATGTCATGACGATCCGCAGGTGACTGTCCAGGTAAAAGAAGTTCTTTGATTTCATCCCACTTGCGATTGCACGTAAACGTGATGAATAGATCGGGACGGCCGTAGTTGCGAACATAGGTCATCGCATCCTGCGCGTACTCGTGTAAGTGCCGAGGGCTTCCTGTGAATGTAGCTGGCAAAATTACCATTTTCCCAATATCATTGGGATTGGTATCGGTAGTAATTGCATCACGCAGATGGATGTACTCTTCTGAGCGCAGTTTGGCTTGATTCAGTCGAATAAACAGAAGTCGTTCGCTCTCAATTTTAGCGTACATGTCGACAATGTACTGATGGAACAGTTGCCGACATTTTAAAATGTGATTCTCTTGATTTTCACGAATCATCAGTCTATAAGCATAGTACTTCATAGCACTAACTTTTTTATTTATCTCCTCATTTGTTTCTGGATTTATCATTTTGATATTGAAATGATACCCATCTTCTCCTTGCCAAAATATTATGGGGTATTGTAAAGCATCATAAGACCGATGCGTTTCACAGACTCGCTGAACATTACCATTTCTGCGATGAAGAATAATATCACGCGAGTTGAACTCTTCGCCGGCTATGACAATCGCGACTTCATTTAAAGTTGGTGCATTATATTGTCTTTCATGCTGGCCGACTGGTGTTTTGTCAGCTCTAATTACAACAGCATATTCATCAGCTGGCATTCGGTCAAGCGCCGTCCTGAATAGCCGAACCAGTTCATTGTGTTGATCAAACATAGGTTGTAGAGCAGCTATTATTTCTTGGTTAGTACTGGTATTGAATTGACAACGCTTTTTAACTTGCTCAGCAGGGTTTCCCATAAAATAAATTTGGAGAAATTTGTGATCTGCATCTTCCAGTGGTAAAAGTGATCCAACCCGATGATATATTTGGCCTTGAATTTTGAAGGTTGGCATGTAATTGTCACGAATGATTGCTGATGCACCGAATGACGTCATCTGGAAAGATGAATTGTACCTACGTATGTTTTCCAAGAAATGTTTCGACTGGCTTGTTTCACCTGATACCAAAGTTGATAACGGTTCGGGTGGTAAATGCAGTTCTGGTAGTTTCACTTTTCCACTTGCGCAGCACATTCCAGGCGTTTCATTCTTAAATTTCAACGCATGGCAAAACTTGCACACTTTATCCATTTTTCCGATAGCGACACCTCGATGAAGACTGTAATCATAATCAGGATCATAACTGAATGCAGAGAGGTTCAGATCTGCATGCAGTGTCCGTCTGGTTTGAAAATTGCGTTCTCGATTGGTTCCCAGTCTTTCTCTCCGTTGATCTACTGTTTCATTTGAGCGGGCTTGAGTAGTGCCTACCCGATTGGATTCTAATCTTGATTCATGTTGCTCTTCTGTTTCATTTGTGCGGGCTTGAGCAGTGCCTACCCGATTGGATTCTAATCTTGATTCACGTTGCTCTTCTGTTTCATTTGAGCGGGCTTGAGCAGCACGTAATTGAACTGTTTCCAATCTTGATTCTCGCTGTTCGTCCGTTTCATTTGAGCGGGCTTGAGCAGCACGTAATCGAACTGTTTCCAATCTTGATTCACGTTGCTCTTCTGTTTCATTTGAGCGGGCTTGAGCAGCACGTAATCGATCTGTTTCCAATCTTGATTCTCGCTGTTCGTCTGTTTCAGAAGCTCGCATTGCCCTTTTTTTTCTTGTTTCTGATGTAGATCGACCAATAGATTTTCGTTTGGGAGGCATACCTGTAGCAAAATAAATAAATGGAAAAATTCACTATCCATATTAAAAAATGTGCTTATTAAAATTAATCGTGTAAGTGTATTCAACACCATCCGGAAGTGTACGGCGATTTGATGCATGGTGTACTAAGGCATTAAGGACAAATAGACCGACAGACACATTAGAGAAATGATTTTCACTTTCTAGATTTACAAACTAAAGAGCTTAAAAATATTCGTGTGGCGAGTTAAAAAAAATTATGGCATTCTAGAAGGTGTTTTTATTATTAAGGCCTCCCTTCCCCCCCCCCCCCCCCCCCCGACATTTTATTTAACCGCGTATCTCGCTTTTGTCATTTGAATGTAATATATTTCATATGTTCGTGCGTGTGATGTCTAAACTATAATGTGACTCCAATCTCGCGTGAACACCGCCGTGTCATATGTAGCCTACTTCTTAGTTATATTAAGTTAACATTTTTAATAGTATCATCAAATTTTACGTTGTTGCTTTAAAAAAGATGTATTAGTAGGATCCCGTTTCTAAAATTTCACTACAACAATTTTCTCGATTATCTTACATGGCATCAAGTATCTACAAATGAAGTTTGGGGCGGGGGGGGGGATATTTGCAGGAAGAAAATAGAAATGTTTTTAAGTGTTTCATTATTTGCTTTCATAATTGATACAACTTTGGAAATTCAATTTCATGACTCACTTTAACAAACAAATTGACACCGGTGTATATAAAAAAGAATGACAGAAAAATAACAATAATGGAGATTTAATTTTGTATTAACTTACCTTTTTCAATTCATGAAATAATCGGCAACTCCTCAATGGCCGCGGTTTTTTCTTTCCAAATCGTAAAGTTCACTGTCGTGGGTTTTAACATGTAAATAAAAGCAGCTTACTATATTCGTCTTTAATAATGCAAAAACTGATTTTCCTTTGCTTTTATGTACATCGAAGTGACTGATGCAACTTGTTAACTTTACTAATGGTGTATTTTTAGACGCGTAATCTGACTTTCTGATTGGTTCATGCAAACAAATATCCAGATTGCGTCATTCTCTAAAGTGAGAAAAATCAACGGGAGGGTTTCTTTAACACGCAAAAAAATTTATTGGACGTGTTATTAATTTCAGAGTGAATGATGCAACTAATGGTGTATTATTAGATGCTCGATCTCAATTTCTGATTGGATTTAAAAAAAAATAGATGCTAATTGCATCATTCGTAAAGTGACGAAACTCTACAGGATGGTTCCTCGATTTACAAAAAGTTATTTTTTCAACATTCGCAAGGTGACGAAACTGTACAGAAGGATTTCCTCATCTTACAAAGTTATTTTTAGAAGTGTGACTTTTTTAGATTTGAGTTATCCACAGAAAGTGTGTGTGTGTGTGTGTATAATGAAAAATCGCACCCTCCCGTGGCGCCGCCCTTGCGAAATTAAAAATGATTTTTTTACAGAACCCTTCCCTAGAGTTTTATAATAAACTCCCCAAAGTTTCATGCCTATCGGATGAACTGTGTCACTGCAATTCACTTTTATTATTTTTATATACCGTAAATAGTGAAAAATCGCACCCTCCCGTGGCGCCGCCCTTGCGAAATTAAAAATGATTTTTTTACAGAACCCTTCCCTAGAGTTTTATAATAAACTCCCCAAAGTTTCATGCCTATCGGATGAACTGTGTCACTGCAATTCACTTTTATTATTTTTATATACCGTAAATAGTGAAAAATCGCACCCTCCCGTGGCGCCGCCCTTGCGAAATTAAAAATGATTTTTTTACAGAACCCTTCCCTAGAGTTTTATAATAAACTCCCCAAAGTTTCATGCCTATCGGATGAACTGTGTCACTGCAATTCACTTTTATTATTTTTATATACCGTAAATAGAGAAAAATCGGACCCTCCCGTGGCGCCGCCCTTGCGAAATTAAAAATTATTTTTTTACAGAACCTTTCCCTATAGTGGTATAATGAACTCCCCAAAGTTTCATGGCGATCGTGTGAACGGTGTCACCGCAATTCACTATTATTTTTTTATATACGTATTAGAGAGAAAAATCGCACCCTCCTGTGGCGCCGCCCTTGCGAAATTAAAAAATTATTTTTTTACATAACCCTTTCCCAGAGGGTTATAACGAACTCCCCAAAGTTTCATGCCTATCGGATGAACAGTGTGAAATCAAAATAGACTTTTATTTTTATATACCGTATATAGAGAAAAAACAAATCGCGCCCTGCCGGGGCGCCACCCCTGCGAATTTGAAATTTTTTTTTTCGCAGAAACCTCCCCAGGAATATTATCAACAACTTCCCAAAGTTTCACGGCGATGTGATGAGAGGTGTAGTAATGCATAAAGGACAGACAAACAAACACACACACATACATTGCTTTTTATATATATAGATATATATATATATATATATATATATATATATATATATATATATATATATCCCCCCCCCCTCTCTCTCTCTCTCTCTCTCTATATATATATATATATATATATATATAAATATATATATATATATATATATATATATATATATATATATATATATATATATATATATATATATATATATATATATATATATATATGAGGGGGGTGGGGGTGCGTGTGTCTTATGTAGTCTATACAATTACCAATTAGTTCATGCCTTTTTTTGTCTCATACAAATGTCCAGTGTTGAATGCTAGCATTACGGCTACATCTATTATTCGGAATATCCGATCGACCAGACTTTTTCCCCCTCGTTACTCCCTAATTACTCGCCCTCGATCAACCGGCTCCCGGGAGTGAGCTCGTGGTCACAAGGGAGTGGCACTGGTCAAGGAGCGATGCCACGCTCCATCACGCAATTCCAGCTGTCGTTTGGTTCCCCATTCTCCTGGGTCAAAGATTGATCAGTTCAGCCATTTGTTCCACCACGATTTAAAAAAAAAAATCCTTGAAGTTTTGTTGAGCTTAAACTTCTATTATATATCCCCTTAGCTCATTATGGTTAAATGTATGGGGAAAATATTCAGAAAATTATTTTTTTTTTTTTTTTTTTTTTTTCTTAAACCAAAATCTCAAAAAAAAAATTCCCAGGAAAAATTGTTTAAAATGGTCTTTAAAAATATTGTGTAATGCACAGCTTTAGCCTTACAATCAAGGAAACTGAAAGAAATTAGGTTTTTAACTATTTAAAGTTGACATTAGTTAACCTAACCAGCTGTACAAGAATGTTGTGTTTTTAAGTACCTCACGGTGACATTAGTTAATCATAAACACTTGTACAAAAAGATTACATTTTTATATACCTAAAGGTGGTATTAGATAAACAGCGGTACAAGAAGATTGGGTTGGTTTTTAAGTACCTAAAGGTGGCATTAGTCAACTTAACAGCTGTAAACAAAAAGATGGGTTCTAAGTACTTAAAGTTGAAGGTTTTTATATTAAAGACATGCTAAGAGGTAAACGAAGTGAATATTTGACTTATTACACCTATCTGATTTCTCATGCCTGCTTACATCTGTACAAATACATATATCTGATTTAGTATGTTTAATTACACGTATCTAGTTAGTCCTATCAGCATTTGCTTGCCTGATTACACTTTTCTAATTGGATCAGATTCATTATACCTTATGTTATACATTTTGATTACACCTTGATTACACCTAACAATTTCCTCGAAAAAGCTTTAGATTAATGTTTAGATTACACTTTTGTATTTACGACTATTTTATTACACATGTATCATTACACTTTTCGTAATACACCTGGCTTACAACAGCTACATTATAACACTTTTTAATTACACCTTTCTAAATACATATTTCTGATTACACATGTCTTTAACAGCTGTTTTTCAACACACATATGTAGAACTCTAAACGCCCATAGCTATGTCCTAAAAAAAAAAAACAGCCACCTTAACTTCACAAGAAAGACATTGTCCACTTAGAGTACAAGCCAAAAATTTCCCCTGAATAAGCTGATAATTAATGTTCTCAAAATTCCCCGGAGATATCTGCTAATTAAATGCCAGCGGCATTTATTTATTTATTTTTTAAATTATTTTTATGAACCTACAGTTATTTCTCGTTTAATTAACCTACATTGACAAATAAAAATTAAAAAGTATTTTATCACAATGTCATATTCACCGCATTCGCTCCCCCCTACCCATTGTTTATTCTCGAATGGCTTTTTTTTTAATCGGCTGACTTTTTTTATTATGACTTGATTTGACTTAATACTCGTTGCTCCTTATAGGACATAGGGCCTCCACCATTTCCTTCCATTTCGTCCGATTTCCGGCTATTAATTTTGTAATCTCCCAAGACATCCCTGTTGGTTTCAGTTCTGCTCATTAAATAAGAATATTATTCTTCGTTTTTAATTTAATGTTGGAAGGGATCCCCAACAAAACAATTAAGTATACTTGACAACTGGTCTCTCCAGAAGAGTGGCTGCCCCCAGCTAACGAGCCTCATCTGCCCGAGGGTTCGAACTCGAGTCTTTTCGGTCTAGCAACCATGAGCTTTACCGACCATGAGTATAATGAATAAATAGATTTCGCCCACTATCCGACAATGAAACAGTTTTGTTTATACAATTATTTTATTTCATTCCTTCAGACATAATCAGAAGTTTAAAATGTTGTTTGATTTTTTTTTTCATTGTTTTCTTGTCGCTTTAATAATTATTTCTAAAAAGATCATTAGTTGTAAAAGTTTCATTGTTTTTGTTCTTTTCACTCGAGTATTTGCCTCTTAGGCAATTTCCACCCAGTGGCCAGATTTTTCGTCAGATCACGTGTACCTTGACGTCGTAACACGTCATCAATAAATCAGTATTCGCCAGGCACTTTGAACTTTCTACCAGCTCTTATTTCGCTCATTAACTGCTTTTTGAAAAGACCAGAAAATGTCCATTTCACACATACGCTAGTACCCATTAACACACCGTTCACAATACACAAAGAGAGGCGAATCAGACTGAGCAAACAAAAT